TATTTTATTTTATTTTATTTTACTTTATTTTATTTTATTTTCAAACAAAAATGTGTAACAAAATGTTGTTTTTTTCCCATTGAATTTATTTTTAAAATGCTAAATATTAGTTGAGAGCCCTAATGAAAGTCACTACTTTCATTATCAAGTGACTTTCATTATCAATACACCTCTTCGGCTTGGGGTAATGTTTTCCCATTTCAGACCACTTGTCATTCCCTTGAGAATAAGATTCTTTGTTTGAGCTGTATCCATATTCATGTGTCTTCTCATGTGCAACCGAGTGCAAACCTTAAACAAAGAAATGATACTCTAGGGAATGACATGTGCTCTGAAATGGGAAAACATTACGTCAGATCCGAAGAGGTCTATTCTATGTGAAGTGAATAGTTGAATGGTGAAAAAAAATTAACCAATTCTTTCCTGTTTTTATTTGCTGTAGATGGTGAATTCATTATTGAGTACGGCATCGCAGCTGAAGTGTATGATAGAGCAAGTGAGGGTACAGTCAGAAGCAGCAAGAGAGGCAGCAGTAGCTCAAGCAAGACTACAAGCTGAAACTGAGAAAAAAGAGGTGATTAGAACAGCTTGATAAATTATATCACCGTTATGGGACTGACTTGGGGTTGGACCTGTAGTTCTTTTAATCACTTTTACATCTGAGCTGGGGTCTTTGGTGTTAATAGGGGACTTAAAATTTTCAAAATCTATGATGGTGAAGTCAACCGGAAATGTTAATAACTTTACTTAGGGGTTTCGCACCTTCAAAGTCTATCTTCCCCATGGATGAGTTGACTTTACTGACAATGTTTGGAATGGAATCTCTAATGAACAGAACCCCAAAGAGAATTTTTTACATTTTCTCAGAACCTTGGCCTATAAAATTACTTTCATTTTTTAATTTCCCCTGTAACTATACAATCTTTCAAATTTCCGACACTTGAAAGCCAATGATTCTGGTTCTTTTCATCCAATCATGTTTAAATTTGCCATGCTTACTGATCTTGAGATGCTTGCTCGAATGACCTAATGGTTTTTTCCTAATAAGATTAAAATTCAAAATTCTATTGCTAATTTATAAAGTGGGCAATAGAGGTTTTGCACCATCACATGTCCACACCCATAATACAACTTGGGCTGCCTGTGGTTAGATGGCAGAACAATAAAATCCCTTTGCTCTCAGGAATTGAATTTTTTCTCATGTAAAATGATTGTATTGTTCCTGCCATCTAACATGGCTGCCAACACATGATTGTTTACAAACACCTTTTAAAATTTATCTTTAATTAGTGATTGAAAATCAGCTGAGTGGCATTTTTTATTTCTTTAGGTTCTTGCCCAAACTCGCATGAATTCACTACTTCAACTCTCCAAGGCTATCAATGATGCGCAAGCTGAAAGAGAAGCAGCCATAGCACAAACGTTGTTACATGCCAAAGCTGATAAACTAGAGGCAGTAGCAGAAGCACGACAAGAACAGCTTATCAAGGTAAAGTTGGTCAATAATAATAGTGATTATAACACCTTTATTATTAGACGGGGTACATGTACACCGTTGCCATACTGATATTTTTCAGGTGAACCCCAAACAACCACATTCAGTTTAGGCTGCGTTCATGATGTATGGCAGAGGGGGGGGGGGGGGGG